AACAATAGCTAATACTATGCTTAATAGTAAAAGACTGAATGCTTTCCCTCACTATCAAGAAAAGGATGTTTACTGTCACTACTCATATTTCAACATAATGCCAGAAGTTTTAGTCAATGCAATAAGAAAAAGAAATAAAAGTTATACATGTGAAGAAGGAAGAAATAACACTGTCTTTATCTGAACATAACATGATGATCTGTATTGAAAATCTCAAGGAACTAAAAAAAAAAAAAAAAAAAAAAAACTACAAGAACCAATAGTGAGTCCAGTAAGGTCGCAGGATACAAGGTAAACATATACAAATCAATTGTACTTCTATATACTGGCAAAGGACGTATAGACATCTAATTAAATACACAATAATGTTTGCAATTGATCAGAAAAATGAAATAGGTGTAATCTAAGAATACATATACAGCATTGATATGCTAAAAACTACACAACAATGATAAAAGAAACTAAAGAAGATTTAAATAAATGGAGAAATATACCATGTTCATAGATAAGAAAAGTGAACATAGTTGTCAATTCTCTCCAAAACTGATATATAGTTAAGATAATTCCTTTCAAAAGTCCAGTAACATTTTTATAGATATGGACAAAAGAATTGTAGGATTTATGTGGAAAGATATTGGCACTAGCACAGCTAAAATAAATTTGAAAAATAAGAACAAAAAGAAGGAACCAGTTTATCTGATTTCAAGACTTATGGCCACAGTAGTCAATCCTGTTGTATTTGTGTAATGCTAGACACACAGATCATTAAAACAGAACCTAGAAACAGACCTATACAAACATTTCCAGCTGATATTTAACGAAGTTACAAAAACAATTCAAAACAGGAAAAATAGCCTTTCCAATCAATGGTGTCAGACAATTAGGCATCCATAGACAGCAAGAAGACAAGGAGTCAAGGAGGTAGAGAAGGAGGAGGATGAAGGGGAAGAGGAAGAGATTAACTTAGACTTAGGTCTGATATCTTATATAAAAATTAAATAAAATTGGATCACAGGCTTCACTGCAAAACATAAAACTGTAAAATGTTCAGAAAAAAAATTAGGAGCAAATTTTCAGGATCTAGTTCTGGGCAAATAATTATTAGACTTGAGATTGAAAGCATATAAAGCAAAATTGCTAAACTGAACATCAAAATTACACACTTTTGCTTCACATAAGACTCTGTTAAGAGACTGAAAAGACAACTACAGACTGGAAAAATTACTTGCACATCATATATCTGACAAGGGACTAGTATTCAAAAGATACATTAACTTAAAAAAAAACCTGAAAACTCAGCAACAAAAAATCTTGTTAGAAAATGGGCAAAAGACATGAACAGACATTTTATTGAGGATATATAACATGTGCAATTAAGCACATGAAAAAATGTTCAATATCAATAACCATTAGAGAAATACAAGTAAAAACCACAATAAGCTACCATTGCACACCTATCAGAATGGCTCAATAAAAAATAGTGACAACACCAAATGCTGGCAAGGATACAGAGAAACTGGACAGATCAACTGCCGGGGATTTAAACTGCTATGGCTGCTCTAAAAAACATTTTGGCAGTTTCTTTCAAAATTAAACATGCAGTTACCATGTGGCCCAGAGATTATACTCCTGGGCACATTTTTCCCCCCAGAGAAACAAAGAGTTATGTTCACACCAAAGTCCTGCACCCAAATTTTTATAGTGGTTTTAGTCATAGTAGCTCAAACCTGGAAAATAACTCAGATACCCTTCAACAGGTGAATGATTAAACAAACTCCAGTACATCTATACCATAGAATATACTCAGCAGTAAAAAATAAACAAGCATATTTTCCTTGCAGAAATATATGGATGACTCTCCAGAGAATTAATGCTGAGTGAAAAAATCCAGCCAGAAAAAGTTACATATTGCATGATTCCATTTTTATAGCATTCTCAAAATGACAAAATTATAGAAATATAGAACAGATTAGTCTTTGCCGGGGGTTAAGGAAGAGAGGGGGGCAGGTAGGAAAAGGTTGTGGCTATAAATGGGAACATAAGAGATCCCATAGTGATGAAAATGTTCTATTTCTTGACTCTGTCAATGTCAACAGCTTGGTGGTAAAATGTGCTCTAGTGCTGCAAAATATTAGCATTGTGGGACACTGGGAAATAAACACATGGAGTATCTCTTTACTCGGTATTACTTCTTTTTCCTTTTTTTTTTTTTTTTTTTTTTCAGTAGAGATGGTTGAGGTGGAGGGTCCCAGGCTGATCTGGAACTCCTGGCTTCAAAAGATCCTCCCACCTCAGCCTCCCAAAGTGCTAAGCCACCGTGCCTGGCCTATGTCTTACCATTGCATGTGAATTTACAATTTTCTTAAAACAAAAAGTTGAATTAAAAGCTAATACTCGGAAGCCATCCAAAACAAAATAAATATAGATTATTAACATACACACACACACACACACACACACACACACACACACACACACACACACGTGGAGTTGTAGCTATATGCTATTTGACATCTTCTACCAGAAGTTTAGAAACTGAGAAATTGATCATGGAGATTAAATAATTTATATATATATATATATGTATTTTAGATTAAAGACCTGAAACAGGGATGGCAAACAGATTAAATCTGATACATTCTTAGATGGAAATGCATGCTATCAGGGAAGAGGAATGTCTCTTATGGGCCCTGGATTGGGGGATGTCGTGGCTTGTGTACCACATAATTGCCATTCCTGCCTTGGAATTTTAACCTAGAGGTTTGTCAGTAGGATCTCTGATAGCCTGGGAATTCCTGAGACTAGAAGTTTCAAAAACAGCACCCATTATAGTTTCACTCAAACGTGAGCATTCAAAAGCTGCTAAATATCCTGGGCTGTCACTCTGGCTGTGCCATGCAAAATGGCTGAGCTACGAAGTTGGCTGTTTAGCTGATGTTCCACAATGATCATTTGCTGGCCCACAAACACATTATGCAGTTCATTGCTCAGGAAAATTTCTTCTTTGTTTGAGTTACAGGGATTAAAAACATTACAACTTAATCCCTTTGATGCATCCAGGCCATTTTAAAATTGAATGTTTTCTTATTAACTCTCCTACTGGGAACCAATTCACTGACACTGTAACCAAAGAGCCAGGCAATCCTGATTAATTACAGAATTTTTGCCCTTCTGCCTCTATGAGTCTCTCTAAAATATTTAATAACAAAAGTACTTAAATAAATCTATGGGGTTAATCAATGTTTCGTGTAATTTGGAATAAGAAACCTCAAAGCCTTTCAAATAAATAGTGAGAAAAAGATGAGAAGTAGCATATTAAAGAAACCCATGTTTAAGAATTCGTATGTATTAAAGGCTCAAGCCATGTTCATCCTCAAACTAACCAAAAAGCTAATTCATGTTAGAAAATCAGCACACACTTCATTTGTTACAATTCTTTTAATGGAGAACATGAGTTTATAAATTAAATTATACATTCAATTCAGAGGCTGTAATGCTGCTGTCAGATTTATAGCCTCCAATTCACAGATATCAAGGCATAACAAACTATCAGGGAGAAAGGCTATCTCCTCATCAGATGGGTTAGACTGAATGTTCTCCATATGGTAACCACAGGGATGAATGAGGGCTTCTACTTTTGTTAGCAGTGCATGTGGAGAAAACTAGATCAGAAATACCTGTCTGATGTTGAAAAATGAATATTATACTTCACTTTATGTGCTACAGAAAATGGAAGAGATCTGTGGAGGAGAAGATTTAAGCATCTCAGTTGCAGACTAGCACATATTGAGAAATTAATCTGCCCACTGAATAATGCAAGAAAAAGTTGTGACCTCAGAAGAATTAGCATCACAGGAAGATCACAGGGTGAAATGTATTTCTATCCTGAAAAAAAAACAAAACTTGTGCAAACTTAAATTTCACAACCTACTTTAAGATATTATTTCTCGTCAGCAACCTTGTAACGATTTAGCATAAAATTTATTTCATACATCAACGAGGATCAGTTTTACTCATGAATTTTTTTTATATAAACTGATATTTCTTACACTCTAAGATCGTATTTATTTCCTGAAGCCTAATATATAGACTCATTCCAAAGAAGTACAGCAATGCTGAGGAATTGTTCATAGTTGCTTAAGGACAAAGCACTATGCTAAATAATGTAGAATTATTATATGGTACCCCCACACACAGAATCCCTGGAAATTAACTTAGGCAGGCAAGAATTGGTTTCACTTTCATGTGTGCAACGAGACAAGCCTTTTTGAAATTTGAATGATAAAATTCCTTTCAAAAATGCCACTTGTCAGCCTAATAAGGAAATAGTCTGTATGTTTTCCTACCTATTTTCCTGAATATTGAACTTTTTTATCAAGGCCATGTGAGCACTGAAGTGTTATAAAGCTCATTTCTTTTACTTAGGAAAGTCTATTCATCTGGGATATCATACACTATTCACAATTTATGCATTTTTATTTTTTAATAAATATTTTCTTCTTTTCTATATATGCTGTTTGCATTTTTGTAATTCGAAGCTAATCACTGCACCACTACTGTGGGCTCCTATTCTGCATAAGGCATCATGTAGGAAGCTGGAAGAGATACACAGTTGTGAGTCCTGGTTTCCGCCTTCAAGGTGGCTTGTGTTCTGGTTAAAGAAATAGATCCACACACCAGACACAAAAACGGAGCGTGACAGGGCTCTTGCTGCTCAAAAGGTGTTTCTCAGACTGCATGCTCACTTTGAGTTTGTGAGAAGTACAGTATAAGCCCCGCCCCAGTCCTGTTGAGTTAGAAGCTGCATGTTAACAAAATCCCAGAGGGTTCATATTCCCAGTACAATATGAGGACTGAGCCATGGGGTTGATGTAGAAAGGGAACTGAGTATGGAAATAAGAAGACTCAAAGTGCCACACAGTAGCACTGGCAGAACAATTTGGAGGACATGGTTCACAGGCATTTCCTAGGTGTAGTTATATCTGAATTTTGAACCTTACCTGGTCTGAGGATAGTTGAGCAAGGTATATAGATGGGGACCCATCTAAAATAAGTACTTTAAAGGCTTAGAGAAATCTCTGAAATTAAAGGATGCTCATTTCTATTTGTATTTTTCTGCATCAGATATCTTTAACGTAATACAGAATTCTCCTGACTTCATTAACTTGTAAGTAAAAATAAGATCAGATTTGCTTTAATATTCAAGTTACATAGGTTTCTAGTTCCCATATGATCAGAGTAGCAATAAATGCAGTTATTCACCAATCTAATGTCTAACACCTTCTTTAAAACTTTTTTATTGTGGTAAAATATAGATTTTACCTATACTAAATGGCATTAAGTACATTCATATTGTTTCCAACCATCACCACTGTCTATTTCAAGAACTTCATCATCACAAATAGAATCTCTATTACCCATTAAACAATAATTCCCTATTCCCTTCTGGCCCCAGCTCCAGGTAACCACCACTCTACTTTCTGTCCCTATGAATTTGGCTACTCTAGGTATCTTATATACGTGGAATAATACAGTATTTGTTCTTTTGTGATCGCTCATTTGGCATAATGTCCTTTTGGTTTGTTCATGCTCTAGCATGTATCAGAATTTTATTTCTTTTTAAGGCTGAATAATATCCCATTGTATGTCCATACGATATTTTTAAAAACATTTATTTTAGGTTTATTCAGGTTCAGGGTATTAACTTTGTGTGAAGGTTTGTTACATGGGTAAACTCACGTCACAAAGGTTTGTTGTACAGATTATTTCATTTACCAGGTATTAAGCCCAGTAGCACATACGTATCTTTTCTGCTCCTCTCCTTCCTCACACTCTCCACCCTAAAGTAAACCCCAGTGTCTGTTGTTCCCTTCTTTGTGTTCCTTACTTCTCTTCATTTACCACATATTTTTATCCATTAATCTGCTGACGGACATTTGGGCTGTCTCTAGCTTTTGGCTATTATGTATAGTGCTTCTGTAAAACCTTACCTTTTCATGTTACCGAGTGTAAAGCTATTGAGAGCTACCTAAGCCTTGTTTGGAAGCTGAGCAATCTTGGCCCCTTTCACAGAAGCTATCATCGTGTGCATAATGAAGCTGTTGGGTGCAATATGTCCTATTCTACTTCATTTTTGCTGAAGTGCAGTTTAACTGCCAAAACCAAGACACTCTAATCTAAGTTCAACTCACTAGTGTGTTGAAACCTTATTAACACGTGGGAAGGAGGACATACCCTCCCCTAGCAGTAAACTTACACTCAAAATTGGCCCAGCTGCCAAGTGTGCAGTGCTGAGTGTTAGCCATTGCCTGTCACTCAGAAGCAGCCACTTCCTCCAAAGCATGCAGTAGCACCCTAGAGGTGAGTTAGAAGAGATCCCAGTACCATCCTGAACATCCCAGAGCCAGTCCCCACTCCCACAGTCCATGTGCTGGGTGCAATCTACAAAGCTAGTATGGATCCATTTCCCTCCAGCTTCCCTGGACTATCGCTTGGTGACTAATTTCAGAGGAGCTTATTAGTCTTTTCTTGCCATCTCTCCTCAATAGAGGTGACTGCCAGTCCCTTGGACGTGTTTTTAAAACTGAATCACAAAGTGGAAGAATGGAACCTGTAGGGTTTCCACCCCACAAACCCCTGTGTGGCAAGTGCTTTTCCAGAAAATGTATCTTGTCATCTCCAATCTCTTTAGAGCACTGAGTTTCACAGAGGGGTGTGGGGACTCTATCCACCTACAGAGCTGGATCCAGGCCCAGCTCAATTAAGTCCCATTATATGCTCTCCCAGAACTGGAGTATTAGCTTTGCTTGCAATACATAGCTAAAAGATGTCATTCAAGTGGTTCTTCTCAGACTGAGGGAACTCACCCAAAAGAGAATGAACAGCTAGCTCATCTTTGAGGCACCAGAAACTAGAGCTTATATTAAATGATCTTCCATCTTATAAGAATGTTTAAATTCAATTTCTTCTAAGTATTCTGTTATACATATGTGCACTTACATTTGAGTATTCTGTTGTACATGTGTGCACTTACGGTCCTGGTGGGAAAAGACAAGTAGAACTCTGATTAAATCAAAGCGTAGCCTCTGATGGAAAAACTCATCTGGGGGAAAGGAGAATCAGGCAAATGAACTTGACCAGTTAAACTTCAGGTATCTGAGGATCACTCAGCTCTGAGAGCTGTGTGGTGTCTATCTCTCGGGTCTGACATTACACATAAACAGCTAGGTGCTAGGGAGCAGAGGTGTTTTTGAGAAAACCTAGAAGGACTCTCTTCACTCTGTAAAATACTGGAGCCTAGGAAATGCTCTGGTGATGCCTGTGCCAGCCGGTGACACAAAAGTGGTTGTGGGAGGTGGTGATTACTCCATTTCTGTGAGGAAGATAGTACAGTTTTGGTACCTGGACGAGTTGAGCACATTTATGGCCAAACATACAGGCTGCAGTATCCAGAGGAAACGTGGGGGCAGAGGTAATGTGCCTGGCAGGGAAGTGGCACTAGCGTATCCTGGAGTGGTTTGAGGATCTGCGTGGGTATTGATGTCCCAAAGAGATGTTGATGTCAGCTGACAGTCATTGCATTTAGAAAAGGAAGCTTATGGTGGGAACAGGAGGAGGCTATTTCATGCAGCTTTGTTGGACATGACCTTTGTTTAAGGGCCCTAGGACAGGAAAGCAGAAAGTGACATATGCTATGATGTGTCATAGAGGATCTGTGCCTAAGTACTTGTGAGACACTCTGAGGGACTCCTCGGAAAACCTAAAGGGAGACCCTCAATGCGAGTGAGGTGAAATTCTTTTTTTTTTCTTTTTTTGCATTGAAAGTTTTATTCAACAAAATTTTTTCACTACTGTCAACTAAGTATTTAAGTCCATGACTTAAGGAGAATACAAGCAAATATTTAAATCATTTAATATCAGAGCAGAAGGCAAACTTAAACTCTTGAACATAATATTTAGCTTACACCTTCAGAAATAGCAAATAAAGGAAAAACCTTGCTCCACAACTGATCTTAAAATAAAATAATAATTTAGCATTGCAAAGTACAGTACAGGGACATAAGAAAAAATCAGGCATCTGGCAATGCTGAGAAATCATTGCTTATTAACATTTATAAATGAAAATGTGAGGTAAAGTTCTAACTCACACTATCCAAAGCCTCCATTCGTTTTACCATGGATTTTCATGGACTTAGAACACACACAATCTCTTAAAATAATACATATATATGCAAATTTGAGAATGCTTCTTTAGGATGAGCAAATGATTAGGCTTTCACTTCTTACCTCATTTCCTAAATAGGACTTGTTTTCAACTCTGCTGTTTGTTAGGTTTTTAAGAGTGAGGAACATTTAACCATTCACTGCTTTGAAACCTTTACTGTATCTCCTTATGATATATAGTATGGGGTCACAACTCAAGGACGATGGGGTGGATGGACAGGTAAATATGTGTGAATGTATGACATGATGGTTACAAGGCACTAGAGAGTGGCTGGAGACAGCGCTGGCTCTGTCTAAAGGCATGCTGCTTCACTGAAAACAAAACCAAAACCAAAACCCTTAGCCACACAAAACATGTCCATGGGTCACATTAAGCCAATAGGCTACCTGGATTCTCATTCTATCATTATTGTAACTCTTACCACATAGATAGTTGACTTCTACCTCAACATGGCTGGGATCAACCCTCTCTTTCATGGTTGACATGAATGAAAACCAACAGAAGCCTATCAGAGTATCACTCCCATTATCCCTGGAGCTGGCCAAAAGCAGGAACGCTACTGCTTCATCTTCGGATTCTGTGTACCAGTTCAGGTTGCACATAATCAGCATTGCAATCTCATGGAGAAACCACGTCAGATAAAAGAGAATGATAGTATCAAACAACTATTTAGAGCTCATTTCTTGCCAGGTCCTATGCTAAGGATTTTCCTTATCCCATTTCATTTACTCTTCCTAACTAACCTATTGCATAAGAACGATCATTATCACCATTTTATGGATGAGAGAACTGAGACCAGAATCACACAATGGGTGAAGCAGAAATTTGGCGACTTCAAAGTCCATGATTTTAACCAAAATGTATATACTTAGGTAAAGCAAGTGTGAGTCAGTGGTTCAAGGATAACGCAACAGGCTAGAAAGAAAGGAATTGAATGTAGGTAATATTTAACAGGGAACTACTGTTTCCAACAACAGACCTGAGGAGCACAAGAGGAAGAGCAGTGGATCCAGGAGAGCTTGGACAGAGGCTCGGTGGTGGGAGACCGAGATCCGTGGTTAGGGTTGAAGTGCAATCTGACAGGAGGGTGAGTGGAGACAGTGTTGAGGCTGAGCTGCTCCTCCCCCACAATTTCTCTCTCTCCATCCCATCTCTACCCTTTGTCTGTCCACTTACACAAGTTCCAAGTAAGAAGAGATCATTGAAACTTAGAAAAACACTGTATTTCATATATTGAAGCATATGTGATTTCTCTCTGCGTCTCTGACCCTCCCCTTGGGTGTCTGGCCTCTATTAAGTTAGGAAAACACAAACATGTAAACTTGAGTGACGTGGAGAAAAGGACAGACTTTCCCGCTTCATACCACACCACAGTTGTGCTCCAAGGACTGGGTTTAGTGTGTTCTGGATGTTTCTCTCTGAGGGAAGAGCCTGAAGAGATCCAAGACAATGAACTCCAACCCCTACAGAAGCCTTGAGAGACAGAGCAAAGTGCTTGCTGTTCTGTCCCATCTGGTCTCTGTAGTGTTTAGGAGTGACTTCCGGTACTATCTGTGACAACGAACAGACTCTCCCCACACTTCCTGATGTCACCCTGTGATGGTTAATTTTTTTCTTTTTCTTTTTTTTTTTTAAGACGGAGTCTCCTTCTGCCACCAGGCTGGAGTGCAGTGGCATGATCTCAGTTCATTGCAACCTCCGCAATCTCCATCTCCCAGGTTCAGGCAATTCTCCTGCCTCAGCCTCCTGAGTAGCTGGCACTACAGGCATGCATCACCATGCCCAGCCAATTTTGTATTTTTAGTAGAGAGGGGATGTCACCAAGTTGGCCAGGATGGTCTCAATCTTATGATCTGTCTACCTGAGACTTCCAAAGTACTGGGATTATACACGTGAGCCATTGAGCCTGGATGTGACGGTTAATTTTATGTCAACTTGGCTAGACACTATATGCAGATATTTGTTCAAATATTATTCTAGATGTTTCTATGAAGATTTCTTTAGATGACATTAACCTTTAAATCAGTTGACTTTGAGTAAAACTGATTACTCCTCATGATGTGGGTAGATCTCATCCAATCAGCTGAAAGCCTTCCTCCTCAGAGAAAGAGGGAATTCTGCCAGGAGACTGCCTTTGGACCCAAATTACAGCTCTTCACTGGGTCTCCAGCCTGCCAAACTACTCTGCAGATTTTGGATTTGCCAACCTCAGTGGTCACATGGGCTATTTCCTTATAATAAATCTTTCTTTCTATAGAAATGTTTTGTTGGAGAACTTTATTGAATCTACACCCTACTTCACCAATTCTAACATGTTTATTTTTTCACATTTCTCTAAAATCACAAGGTATTTTAAATTAACATTGTTTCCAGTGAAGTATGATCATTCCCAATATTTGATAGTATTCGCCATTCCCTCAGCTAGATATTATTTTGGAAATGCATGCTAATAGTTTGCTATATTGAGCTGACTGATTGTAGTGTAACCACCATCCATGATTTGTATAGCCATGTAGTGACTTTTCTCCAAGGATTACAAAGTTCTGTGCAGTTGTAAATAATTATTTTCCATAACCCTGTCATCTAATTGCCATCTGTAAACTCTGAAAAATGTATTTTTCCAGGGGATGCAAAATATGAACCCAATAAGGGAGATAGAGCTTCAAAGCAGTGCTTTGAAAATGAAGAATAGGAAAATGGAATGCAATGTATTTGTCCTCAGTTAAGCCTCATTGTACTACTTAAGCCCCACTTTCCTCTCCACACAAGTTTATAGCATTTTAACTACCAACTATACCTTCTTTATTCTGTTGAAAGTGGCAGTTTGTTTTTCTACCTGGTATATTTTCAAAAGAATTAGATAAGTGGCCAATACTACAACAATTTTTTGATATATCACCGTCCTGCATAAAACTAAGACTAAAAGGTAACAGTACGTCTTAGGTATGTGTGTATGTCAGCATCTTTGTACATAGCATGTGCACGAAGTAGATGTGGATAGTTGTCAGTACATGCATGTCATTGAATAAAGAGACAAAAATGTGAAATGTTAGCAAATGTCTTTTTTTTTTTTTTTTTTTTTTGAGGCAGGTCTTGTTCTGTAGCACAGGCTCGAGTGCAGTGATGCAACCAAGGCTCATTGCACTCAACCTCCCAGGCTCAAACAATACTCCCAATACTTAGCTTCTCAAGTAGCTGAGACTGCAGGCATGTACTACCATGTCTGGTTAATTTTTAGTTTTTTTGTAGAGATAGGATCTCAAACTCCTGAGTTCAAGTGAACCTCCTGCCCTGGCCTCCCAAAGTAATAAGTGAGTATTTGTCTCCCTTTTATTTATTTTTGTATTACATCCTCCCTTATATTCTAGGGAGTGAGAAAGAGAGAGAGAGAGAGAGAGAGAGAGAGAGAGTATGTGTGTGATTAAGAAGTTGAGCAAATAAGAGAGCAAGATTGTCTCTTTTGGATTGCGAATATTTTGAAGGTGGCTTGGCCAAAATACCATAGGTTTAGTGCCATGGTTTTGAATATTACTTCTGCCACATATAGGCTATATGACTTTGGAATACTTAACTTTTCTCATCTTCAGTTTTTGTGCTTGGAAAGTAAACATAATAAAGTTTAGTGAGGCTTAAAAATAATTTCTGAAAGAAACAGGCACATAGAAATGGTAGCTCTCATCATCCTGTCTCCCTCTCCTGCTATAGCCCTAGGCACAGCACTTGGTACTTGGAAGGTACTGTCATGTTTGTTGAATGAATCACAAAGAAGTGTCTTGACAAAAAACACACACTATTTTTGGCTTTCTATACAACATGCAATAAATTTTATGGCCTGACTCTTTTGAGTACAAAGTAAAGAACCATTCATAATGAGATCCCTTTTTAGCCCAAATGTTTAATATTTCAACCAGACTCATCAGCTCCAATGTATTACTTATCTTCTAGCCTTACTGTCCTATATAAATATGATCTTCATTTAGATGAAAACAACCATAAAACAAACAACATCGCAGATATTTCGGTTAACCATGGAACATACTTCAAGTTTATGATATTACTAGTTTGAATTTTCACAGAAGAAACCAAGATGCTCATTTCTAGTTTTTAAGCAATAAAGTCACAAAACAGACATCTTCATGTCGACTTTATTTCCCCTTTTGTTTTTTTCTTTCCTTTCTTTTTCCACTGTCTTCTCCCCGACCCACCATCTGTTTGTTTGGAAGATCAATGAATGAATCATCCAACAGGCGAACAAACTCTGGATGACACATTACTTTAAGCCACATCTGAAATGAATTGAAAGTTTAAAAGGCCACATAATAAAATCAATCGGTATGCGTGCCTTTCTTGCTGAAAGATAATCAGATGCCAGAAGGGCCCTTCGTAACACACTGTCCCAGAGACTATCAATTCCAACATCCACACATAATTTCCCTCTATGAAGCATTGGCAGCCATTTTGTACTTACTGATTATGCCTCTATAATTCTTCTTCAGATAAAGGATTCACCAGACTGTAGTAGCACTTAGAGAATCACAACTAACAGCTAAAAGCAAGTATCAAAACCAAGTGAATGAGAGAGAGTCTCTTCCCACTGTTCTAGGTGGCAATGGAAAGAGTAAATTCTAAATAGACTGGAAGCTGAAAACAGACAGATGGAAGGAAGGTACGAAGATAAGAGGGAAGAAAGGAAGTGTTGGTGGATGGATTTAGGGCCAGATTAGTTCAAAAGCCTGAAATTTCTGCTCTAAGTTGTAGAAACTGAGTGGAAGCTAGGATTCAAACAAGTACTTCACTTATTCAGTGGAACTATTTAACCAACACTCTATGTCAGGAAATGTTCTAGATACTGCAAGTATGCTATTAAACAAAACAGAAATCTGTAAACTCCTAGAAATTATTTTCCAGTGGGGGAAGACAACAACAAAAAGTTAATGTAATCAATCAGTCAATTAATTATAAAGTATATTGAAAGAGAAAGAGAAGTGCTGTAGAAAAACTAAAAATCAGGATAACGAGAATTGCAAATGCCAGAATGGAGGCTTCAGTTTAAATGCTGTGGACTTAGCATCAGGATTACTTAAATATCAATAATTCACCAGAAAATGGCAGAGTCACAAAACTAAAAGGAAACCATTATGTAACATAACACAAATAGAGGAATTTCATGACAGTATATAAAAGGATTACTCACATTTTTATCTAATTTAAATAAAATATTTACTATGCATGTAAAACCAGAGAAGCTCTGAAAATATTTCAGAGATAGTTGCTTGGCCAAATGCTTCTTTAATAAAACACCTTGCTGCTAAAAGAACACAGATATGTGGATTTCACTTACAGGCAAGGTCAAAGTCCCTAAAAGCAGTTTCATCTCATCACTGTCCATGTGACTGATACTATTATCCCTGTTTTACAGGTGGGGACATTAGAATGATTATGACTAAGCAACATGAGTCAGTGGTAGGGTTTATGGAAAACGCATGTCCTAGGCAGCATGCAAATGACTTCATCTTATGTGGGTTTGGCCATGTAAGAAGTTAAATTATCTCAGCGATTTTGTGAACTTGGCTTTCTTCGTAATTATCCTTCTTCCTGTCTGCTGTCCCAAAAGACCTGGTTACTGAAGAAAGCTCTGTGAGAGCTAAGGATGAGTGTAAATGCCATGAAAACACCATAAAAGTATGCACAAGGTGCCATGCCACAGAGTTCTTCTAATGAAGGAATTCAGGAAAAGCTTAAGTACTGCCAGAGAGTTTAAGTTCCCAAGCGTTGTTTTTTTTTTTTTTTTTTTTTTTTTTTTTTTTTTTCCTTCTCTTAGAAAAGTGCCTCTTTGGCTGGCACTTTGTCATAGGAAAATGACAAAGGCTTTACAGTAAGTCCCTTATCTCCTTTCACTTTTTCAATCTTTAGAATATGGTTAATACTACGTACTTGTGGTTCGACTAGCAAACTCACTGATTACACTTGGCAAGGGACAGCAATAGCAGCAACCCCACAAAACTTAGGCAATCATAATGGTTTCTTTAAATTGGAATTCAAGATAAAATTGAGAAATTCATCAAGAAGGGATAAAGCTCTTTACGTTGTCTTATCACAGAATTTGAAATTTGTGGCCAAGACAATGAAGTTAAATGTTTATTTTATACTACTTGATCATTCTGAAAGTTTTCCAAGTTATTGCAGACTGAACTTAAAGCAGGATATTGTCTTAATCAACTCTTAAATATTAATGTGACACTGCCAAACTAGCTTCCTTAAAATCTCTTTTATTTCTGTTACCCTGCCATTTTCTCATGTAAGAGATAAAGATAAATATGCAATGCTGTTAACCCATTTTGCTACTTGGATTACTAGGTTCACACATAAACACACAGAGAGAGCACCTAAACCTATTCGGGGCAAACGCCACTTTTGCACAAGGCTTCTTAATTTATCTACCTATTACTCTTTTAGTGAACATTTTCTTTCCCTTGAAAAGTATCAGGATTGAAAACCCCAGGAATTCCAAAACAAACCACTCCTCCCTCTGTCATCCTTGTCCTGCTGCTTCTGATCTTGGCCCTCAAACCCAATCAATGTCCTTATCAGAGCAGATCAAGCTGACTTAGGTTGGGGTTATTTTGATGAGACCTTGAGTGTGTGATCAGGTGTATGGATTTTTGCCCTCTCCCAGAAACAGGCCAAACATGTGGCTGCAGCCCTAAGGGGTAGCCTGGTCTGGTCTGAAAGAAAATAAATTGGCTTCATAATGGCCACTGTGACCTTTGGCAGTCTAATTTCTTAGTTGAATTACAACTAGATGCCCTACATACAGCTATTCTCAATAACTACACAAGCCTACAAGAGAGAGAAACTTTTAACTTGTGAGAATGCTGGAGCTACATCTGTCCAGGAAACTGGTAACATGGTTACATCACTGGGCTCCAGAAGTTTTGTGAACTACCATTTGGCTTGGGGAGACAATTCAAGGTGTGAATTCTGACTTATAAAGCTGTCTGTGTTTTGGATGCTGGTTACCTTAGAAATGGCTTTAAGGCTATAGCTAAAGAGTTCCCAGATTTACACTTCAAACACCCAAAAGCAACACCCTTCCATAAAAAGACAAGATGGCTAGAATTAAGGGCTACTTCACTCTAACAGAAGTCTACTTTGTAAAAAATACAACTTTGCCTTTTTGGCTTCCTTTACTGAGTAGAAATATGAATGTAGAAAAAGTACCACTGTGAAAACTTTACCATTCGCAGCTTAATGTCCTTGAGTGTTAAAACATTTAAGGTCCAATCTTAAAAGATATAACAAATTCCAGTGTATATTTAAATAATGTTCCTGTTTATAACCCAATTTATACCACATATTTAGTTGCATGGGATCATATATTTAAACTATTATTCTCTCACTGGAAAGCACATATTCCCATGAGCAACAAGATTTTAATAAATTTGGTGTCATCATCTATAAATACCTTGTTTTAAAATGTGCCTTTCATTTATACTAGGTCTTTAAAAGAATTTGGCAGATTTTTTTCCTTAACCTCTTCATGAGATTTACTTAACCTGCAAATACTTGTACCATTTTTACTATATCCTAATTATTCAACCATTGTTTTATTTGTCAAAAAAAAATCTGAACATGGTTTGAATAATCCAGCTAGTGAAGAGCTGAATCTGTCTTGGGATTTAGAATAAACTTTCTCTGGAACTAGCAGCATCAGTGCTCAGTGCTCCTCCTTCTAATATTCTAGTGTTTTAGGATCATCTGAACATTCCTTTCACCTGCAGGTTGTCTTTGTAATTTTTTTTTTCACAGAGGAAAAGAACAGAAGCAGAATGGATTAAGAGGCTTACTCAAGGCCATTCAACAGATTACTGATAAAGGTAGGATTGGTGCATTATATCTCTTCGAAGAAAGCTTTTTCTTTTTGCGTATTTCTCCACCAACTAAATTAACCTGTATCCTATCAGCAGGCGATGTCAATCTCAGAAGACAAACTGTTCTTGCTGCTCCTGTTAAAACATGCCTATGGAGCACATGTATGACACCACCATATAAAGGAACAAGAAATCAGTAGAACGAGAGTCAATTCAAGATTTAAGGGCAGAGAAAAGTCCATAACGGTTCAAAATTGGGCAGTTGCTGGCAGCCTCAAGCGCTCTTGCACTGGTACCGAAAGCAGAGAATTGCTGTGCCGGGACGCTGGGACAGTTCCTCATTCCCTCTCATACACCCACAATTATAGTCACCAGCATAAAAAGTCAAGACGGTGAGCAATGCCTAACCACCTAATTGCCCAAGTAACCGTCTTTTCTTTTACAGGCCTCATTGTCTTGAGCATGAAGGAAGTGGCAAACCAGCGGGACTGTAATCTATTATCTGTTACCACTAACAGCAGGGATGGGTTGTGACACCAAGCGGGGAAAAAAAAGGCTAGAGAGACAGGCACAGGGGAGACTCATCTGAGTACGGCTGTACTAGACATTTCCTTCATCTTTCCTTCAAAAGACTCATGTGTAACTGTGGGTACACTTGGGAGGGGAGCCAGGAGGGTAGAAAAAAAAGAAAACAACTTGATAGAAGAGCTTGAATAGGTTGGGCAAGGGGTGATTTTACATACAGGGTAGTTTCCTGATCCTTGCTCTGTTCTACATGCCTGTGAATCAGTTACACACACACACACACACACACACACACACACACACACACACACACACACTGTCTTTCATGAATTAATTATTCCTACACATTCTTGAATGAAGCCCATGCACAATGCGGCAGAACACGTGATGAATCCACCTGCCAGGACCCTTGGATGGTGCCTGTGGTGGAAGTTGAGCAGCACTTATCAAAAGCATGGCTGTCTTGTTCTCACCAGAAAGCACGTGAATAAAAGCCAATGCAAAATGAGCTGCAATTGTAACACTGTTTTACTAAAGCGAATCTGGCTGCCAAGGATGGTCCAAACAGTTTTTTGTTTGCTTGTTTTAAGCCCTAGAGAGCTTGTGGCCGTTGGCTTTTATGACTGAGACATCAATTTTGAGAAAATCCTTTAATTGTTATGCCTTTTAAAACCTTAATGCCCTGACAGCACTCTAAAGGTTTCCTTGCCTTCCTCTGTCTGATACTCTGGAAAATGTCAGCTCCACAGTTCTTCCATGATCCACTGCAAAGCTAACTAGAAAGATCATAAAACAACATCGCCAGAAATGTTAAAGTAGCTCTTTCTTTTCTCAGAAACTAGATTCTAGTGTAAACTTGTATGAAGTATAAGCTTAAACTTTAAAGCTTCATAATTTTAGAATGTGACCATAAAAAATATGGGAGTAATGACAATGAATAAATTATGTTTTTATAAACGCTGGGTTCTGCAGAAAAAATTTTAAAAACATTCTATAATGAAATGTTTTAAGAACCTAAATTACAAAAAAGAGAAAGGTATTAAATATGAAGCCTAGCTAAAATATTTTTCTATAAATTAAAAATTAAATATAGATAGATATTAAGTACCAAATTATTAGATATCAATTAGACCTAAGATGGTGTGCCAAGTAAATCAATATATTCTTACTAGACCCTAGAAGATTCATAGATGGAATTCAGGCAATTAGCATATCCTTCAAAATTGTATGAAAAATCATATATCTTTGTGAAGATGCGTTCCACTGGAGTCTGAGATGGGTTCACAATGTAAATAAGAAAGTTTCAAAACCACTGACACAAAAGACATGCCTTACACAATTCAAACTTTTTCAGTATTCAGTAATGCTTTGTTCTTTTTGACAGTTTTTCTAATTTAAGGTTGTTATACTTACTCAACTAGTAAGGCATTATCTCAGACTTTTGTAATATTTGGTCTATGTAATCATTGCAAAATGCAAATTTCTTTTTATCATTTTTTTCTGTACAGAAGAAAGGAAAGAAGTACCTAATAGGATAAAGACTATAAGTAATAACAATAAAATTAAAACATTGTTAATTTAAAAATCAAAACAAAAATGTATATATACTGCCCTATTTTATTATCCATAAATCAAAAAGTAGTTTTATTCTGTTCATTACTTTTCAGAGAAAGGAACAGAATTCCTCTTCCCTTCATTTTAAATGTATTCATAGGCACTACGAGTATCTTACAGAAGGTTATTTGGCAATATGCTTAATGATTTGGATACTGAGTAGTTATCTTTAAAATGTACAGACTTTCTTTACTTAAACAAGCAATTTTTCATTTCAAGAGGAATCTCATAAAAAATTGAACAGTGCCTCTACTTTACTGTCTGGTAGAGATGAGCAAAGGCCA